ATAACAATAAAATAAGTTTTCTCAAGTTCAAGGTATTCATTCAAATTGTTTTAGATAAATGATAACAATTTTATCAAAGTAATTTATCACTAAGGTTAGGAATTGCATCAAACTAATGTCATCAAAAATTTGGTTTTCATCTATTTACATAAGCTATGAGTATCTATATAGTACACAGTCTCAATTAAATGTTTTATCTTTCGGCATTACCCTTATTTAGACCATTAAGGAAAATAATTTCCCAAATATGGTCTTGTAATGGAAATATGGCAAACATTAATGACGAATGAAACTAACATATGCAAATGCCACAAGTTCTTCACTCAACAAACAAAATATCATAAGGCTGGTGGGTGTAGACAACATGTTAAGACATGTTATCATAACCAAAATTTGCCAACTCATATGCCATGTCATCTTTAACACCATTTGATTTATGTAGGTAATGGTGTGCAAATGTTATAACATGTTAAGAGATACAAAGAGAGTTAGAGACATAGAGTGAGATAATGGCTTCTGATTGGTTAATTCTCACGTTACTTCCCGTGGCCATGGTAACATTTCTTATCATAACACCAAATAACATGAGAGGGGGCGGTGTTCCAATGTTATGGCGCAGTTATGAGAGCTGCCAAATCAGTATAACGCCTTATGGCGTTGCCCACACCGAGTAGACTAATATAAATCAAACAATAATGACAACCATACATGCAAATACATCCACACAATGAAAAATAAAATTAGAGAAATTAAATACCCTCCTACCTTTTATTCTTACAAATCTTGCTACCCATTTAAATAATGACATGTGTCATATTACTATCCTAAAATATCTTTAAACTTCAATAAATGAACATTAAATGTTACACATGTCACGATTTAATTGGTTAGGATGATATATAGGAACAAAATGTAGGAGAATATTTAATTTCTCATAAAATTAATTTATTTTTTTCATTATAATATGATAATAATAAGCAATAATGCCAATATTGGAGGCTGAGAGAATAGGTACTTCACCTACCCATTGATTTAAATTTGGATATAACTATCTTCTTCATTTTTAGCCAATGAATTTAAATGTAACGTTCCAAAAGTTCATAGGAAAATTTACTTTTAAAAAATCTAAACTATACAAACGAGTTGTTCCAAAACCGATCAAAGTGAATATATTATGTAAACATCATAGTAAATATTAGCAATTGCTAATGAAGAAAACTCGGGTATATGTGGTGTAGTCACGTCAGACCTCTCCCTTTCCTACCGAAAGTACCTAAAAGCGTGAACATAAAACCGTAAGCACAAAGCTTATTGATCTCCCCAAAATATCACATACCATACATATATGTCATCTTAAGGTTGTACTATCATCTCTATTTCACCCCCGAGTTCATTTCAACTTATATGTTAGTTGAATCCTGTATCGGGTCTATTTCATCCGCGACTCTATTTCACCATCGGTTCTATTTCACCCCTGAGATTAGGGATGGTAAATATCCCCATAGCCAATTGAGAACCCGAAACCCGCACCCGTTTTGACCAGAAAATCTCCAAGTTGATGAGGGATAGGGAACCCCCGAAAAAAAATGGGGATGGGGATACCCCTAGACCCCGACCCTGGACCCATCCTCGATATATGTATATTAATATATAAAAATAATACAAAACATACATTTATAGTATAATTTCAAATATCTAAAAGTTTATCCAAGTAATCAAACTCATTAGTCATTACTTTGTTGAAATTGTACTTTTCCTTCCTCTTTTATCTAATTTAACCTCGTGTATAATTTTTTCTCTTTGGTTTATCTATTTTACCTCAAATACAACTATGATAAATTTTTTTCTATTTGATTTTTCAAATATGTATTTAAATTTGGTAGAAAATTTGTTTATAGTTTTTTTTTTGCAATTTATGAATACTTTTATGCTTTTTAAAATATTTAAGCTTATATTTGTAAAATTGAAATTTAGATTTTTTTTCTTTACATAAAAGTTTTCATACTAAAAAAAAAAATGCTCGATTCCCTGTTGGGGATCCCCGGTCCCCATTCGCGATGGGGATGGGGATTCATTTATATTCTCTAGTAGGGATGAGGATTGGAATGAAGATTTGGGGATGGGGATGGGGATTGGGTCCCCTGTATTTCCTGCCCCCGTTGCCATCTCTACGAGGGGCTAACCATGTACGCACAACGTACACTTTAGTACACCCAACTTCCGCAGCAACCACCCCTTCTTCCCGTTAAGAGCTTAATCCTTAAGATCTTTAGTCCACAATTCAGATCTAGCCATCAAAAGATGTTCTTAACCATAAAGTTTCCACCTTTATGGTCTTGCATGGCTAATAAGACCTGAAAATCGAAACCCTAGCTTCTTGTCCCATTAAGACAACATAGATCATGCACACAAGGAAACTAATGCCCAATATCACATTTTTATGGTTCCTAATAACTACATAATGGATAAAGTTCCCAACTTTATCCATTAGTATGGTCCAAACAACCAAGACATAGTCTTTAAGTGTCAAAGGGACCAAAAGTGCATCTTTTTCAATTTAATTCATTAAGTCCATGCCTCCAACATTCAAAACTGAACCAATATGATGTTTACATGGATAAAGTTTTCAACTTTATCCACAACAAGGACACAAACTTTCAAGATCTAAGCTTTATACATTAAGGTGACCAAAAGCTCATAACATCCTGAACTAGCTAGATCTAACAAATGCATCATCAAGATTCAATTGTTATACCTCTAAAAGAAAGATTAAGGTGAAGAAAGCCTAGATCTACAAACTCCAATGCAAGCAACACTTCTCCAAGATACACCAAGAACACTCCAAAGCACTCAGGAACACCTTCTTTTTCTCAAAAGGCTCAAACTATGGTGAGGGTTTTCAAGGGATGGTATTGGAGAGGTGGAGGCTGAGAATAGAATAGGGTTGTTGAAGTTAAGTATCTTAAATAGGGCTTAAACCACGAAAATAGGGTTTAGGTTCTGATTGCGTACGCCCAACTTACTCATGGAATACCTAGCATACTAGGGATGCCCAATGTACTTCCTGTATGCCCAACGTACTGGACTAAGCCCAAAACCTTCCCAACTTCTAACAGTCATAACTTCTTCGTTCCAACTTCGTTTTCAACGATCTTTATATCCACGGAAAGGTATTGAGGAGATCTACAACTATCTATTTATATTTGACTTAAAACATATCGAACTAAAATCCTTAACTGATGAAAGAAGTTTGAAACACCAATTTTTCCGTTTTTCCCTTTGACTCCAAAGCACAAACCAAACTGTTGGATCACATAATCTACATTACCCACATCCAAATGGGTCTAAATCATTCTTCCCCAAAGCCCAAAGCCTTATGATACTTGATCTTCAAGTCACGCGCGGGCCAAAATTATGAAATGAATCGAAACAAGGTGTTACATTAAATTTTGATATGATTATCTTCCAGGTTGTTTGCCATGGAACTTAAATTGATACATAATGTATGTTTGAATAGGAAAAGGGTATATAATAGCTGAAGGGTAATTTTGGAATTTCACTTTGATTTGGGGGATAGAGAATATGTGATATGGCATACAATGCACTCTTTTGTTAGATAGTTAGATTAATCCACTTTGGTGGCCCCACGTACAACAATCATTTGTTTTCTCATATCCATACCACCATCAACAACTTCCAAAGTTATTGTTATCCTTGTTGACTCGTCATACACAATGTAGCATCCGCACTTAGGGCCTAAAGCATTTTGGGCCATTATATTACACAAAAAAAATTAAAATTATAATAATAAAGTTTTAAATAAAATACTAAAAATAATAAATAAAGTCGTACGATTAATTAAAATGTTTATATAAGTAATGAAATTTGATCAAAAGAGAAAAGTTTGTGACAAGGGTTAACTGTGTCAACATGGTGAAAGATAGGTTAGTTAGGTGTGTTTAAACAAATTAAGTGACTAGGACCAAATTGTAATAAAACATATTAGAACTAATGTTAGGTATCAAATTGAGTTTATCGGTTAAAACAATAGTTTTCTTCTAGATTATAATGTAGTTTACTAGGCGAAAGACCTTTGTGAACACAAGCACAAAGGTATTGATTTTAAAATTAGATTTGTAACATTTCAGATTCATAAATTATTAAAATAAAATGCGTTAAGTTGATGTGAACAAAATTATCTCAATTTAAACACAATGGTTACACACGCGGACTTATTCGAAAATGTTTTTGGTGCACATTGTGTACGATATGTTCTTATTCCCAATCAATTCAACAACGAAATCTGTCTTTGTTTTAATATTATCTTCAAGTAGTTACATAAGCATTTTTGTGTCATACATACACTTTATGACACACAATGTGTTCATATATACATTTTTATGACACACAATGTGTGCATGAAAGACAGTTTAGTAGCGCTTGCTACTTCTTGAGGTGGCCTTATTAACTTCCACTGTAGATCCAAGTGTTCTACCTTGACCGGTCATTGATGTTTACAAATTCTCCGGAGACAGTCAGCAAAAAATCAAACAAAGGGGAATATGACAAAAGAGATCCTAAACTGTGAGAAGTTTGGTAGTACGAAAGAATGGTCTCAAATTTGGAGAAAAAACCTACTCGAGTTATTGTAATTTTTTGGGATTTCATTTTCCTGCTTGCTCTCTAGTAAGGAGAGAACGCCTGTTACCTAAAAATATTATAGAACACCTAATTTTAGGGCACCCGATAATGCATGTCCTATATTCTTCAGATCTATACAAATGACATTTTGTTTACGATACCAGTTTTGTATATCATAAATCCACCTGTCTAAGTTTATGTGTCATTAAAAACCTTTATTTGAGAAGTGGTTCTTTTCAGAAATGTGTGCTTGCATTTCTCAAGAGAACTTTATGATGATGGGAAAATTTTCTAGGTCTCGTGGTATTAAAATTCACACACTGACAAACATATACCAAACATATACATTACATATATATTTATACTCATACAAATACATTGATCCGATTGAAATTAAAGGGGTTCCAAACATAGAATACTCCGCCATGCACCCAAAGAACAACATATGTTTCTTCTATCAACATAGACGTATAAAAAGCTTGTACAATAGACATTGTCGGCCTGAATATTGCAGCTAAACTGCCCGGTGTATCCTAATATAATGTTCATTTTGGTATTTATCATTAATAATTTTATGGTCGTTAATTATGTAATACACAAATTCATCATCCAGTTACGATTGTGTGTTGTATGAAGCCATAACCAGAAGGAAATCACAACCCTAATGCACCCAGATGGACCCGAGTTCTACAAATAGGAACATGTGTCACTGAACCGGTCGCCTGAGCAAATTGCGTCTGAAAAGGAACAATAACCATATCAAAACTTACTAGTTTTAACATGAACCTTTTTACCATCACTACCGATACAAGAAGTTTATGTCTAAAGATAATATGTTAGATTATAACCTGCAAGGGGGCCATTCTTTCTTCTTCGCGTTCAGCTATTGAAACTTGCAAGAGTTTGTTAGTTGAGTTCATCTCAGCTATCTGATTCAATCTGGTTATTAGAAACAAAATAGGTTATGAAATATAGAGCAACATTTTTTATTTAAGGAAGAGTATCAATGTGCGGCTTACTTGGCCTCCTGTAAAGTAGAAAACATTAAAAATGCAAAAAACTGTATGTAACTCGTGTAGTAACCATTACCTTGCCAATTCTGAGCCAAACAAATGTGAATAGCTACCTACAAGATATGATAAATGTCCACTTATTAAAACCAGTTTCCATGTAATATTAGCTGTTTAGAATATGGAAGTAATCGCTCCAGATATTTGGAAAAACTGAGATATCAAAAGACAAACTTATTCATAAAGTAAACCAATCCATTCGAAAATTTCCTCAAACTTTTGTTGATCATTTGAAAGGAAAAGTAATGGTGAATGTTCTACATTTTAAAGAGGTTAAATTATACTAGAATAGCAAGACTTAAAATATAATGAACCACAATTGAGTAAGGATTGCACGTACTCAATCACAATGGATGTTTTCTTTATATTTATGCAATTTTCATTACAATGCTTTTGCACATAGCTTAATTATAAATGTAATATAGGAGTAATTGATAGTTTTGTTTTTCATATTTTCATTCTATTTTATTAATTCACTCACTACAGATTTGTTGGGTTTTAGCAATGCTTGCGCTAGTTTATTCAGTTCTCAAACTTGTTTTTTTATTTTATAAATAATAGGACCCATTATAGCTTTGTGAAAAAGCTTTAATTACTATGAAGGTATGCTAATTGAAAAAATTAAGCTATTGCGGATGCAATGAGTTCATGAATTAAAATCACTAAAATTAAACTGTCATATTTTATTGGTATAAAAATATCTCATGTTGTCATACTGCCAACAGATCAGCATCTTTAGTGATATTTAAGGAACAAGCACGTCAAGAATTATCTATCAGCCTTGCAACTTCCGTCAAGATCTCCAGCATAAAATAGAAAGTTGAGCAGTAAAAAACTTTGGAATTAAAACAAGTACTAAAAAACCATATTTAAATTTACCTGTCCAAGCATTAAGTACAGGAGCCTCCGACAAACTCACAAAATCAACTCTTGAAATGTTATGAACACTTAACAGGTACCGATCTGATTCTACTAGACTGACAACAGATCAACGTATAAGTGAAAGGCAAACAACATAAACTTAAAAACACCAAAAAATGACAAAACAGCTTGAAAACACATGATTCAGTAAAGTATAAACGTATCAGTTGTTACCATCCATGTTTTTGTATTAAATTATTGGGAATCTTTGGTAGTTTTAGGATCTACGTGCTTGATACAGGAAAAAAATAAAGTCGACACATAAAAGTCCTGGAGACTATCATGACCGAAAAAGATACAGATCGAAAACTTTATGAATACACTGAATGATTTTCAGATATGTAGGCAACGATTGTGATCTAGTCTACTAATCCAGTTGTTGAGTACCTAGTTGGAACAAGTAAAAAACAAATGCTTACATCGACGGAGAGATATCATCTCGATGCGTCAATTCTGGATTTAGATTAACAGGGTCGATCATGACAGCGGCTGTGAAATGGTATTCAAATGAAACTGAACATATTGTATATATATAGTGTGGGCGTAACCCTAACCTCGATCTGTAGCATTGTTGATTTTCATTTATGTCCCCTACTATTGGACATATCGTCACATAATGCCCAATGGTTATGCAAAATGACACTTTTTGTTTTCTTGATCATTATAGTGGTATTTGATTTCTATTTTTTTTTTTTTGGAGAATTTCATATATTCTTAAAAATCAAAATATCATATTTGTCAAATTTAATTTTTAAATATCATATTTATCCTTTATAAACTTTGAAAATATCATATTTGCTCAAATCAAATTTTACAATGTTTTTAATAGTTTATAGTATTTTTTAAATCTTAGGATTATTGTAATAATACAAAATTTTAATCATGTTATACATAGGTCTATAATAATGAAACATCTACTTCTATATTACTGAATATCGTTCTCTTAACAAACAAAACATTTCTTCTTCGGCACTCTTTGTTGAATGTATGATTTGATTGCTTAGTTTTTGTTGTTTGTGAATATTGTTATATTGTAGATGGATAGTATTTTAGATTACCGTTGATATTTTGATATTTATGAAAAGTATACACATAATATTTTGATATTTAACACCGGCATATATGATATTTTTGATGTTTAAAAAAGACATATATGATATTTTACAATTTTATGAAGTTTAACTATGATATTTAGAAATTAAATTGGACAAATAAGATTATGATGTTTAATAAGGGTATATACATAATTCTTCCTTTATTTTTAAACATTTGTTATGTGTTGGTGGCCACATTACTCCTTACATAATTGTTCTAGGTGTGAAACCCGTGTATTACACGGGTTGCTTTAAAAAAAAACATTATTAAAATGTGAACATAAAATATTTTTTAATACATAATTTTAGAATCAGAAACGAAGAAGACGTAGTTATTGCAATTTAATATCATATATATGATATATAATATTTTTCATATATAAGTATGATTTTAATTTTAAAAATTAAAACAAATCAAAAATTGACAAGTGGATAATATTTATTTCAAAAAATACTATAAAATGACAAGTGTCAAAGCTCATAAGAGATTGATATGTGTAAAAAAAAACTTTCATTGATTAAGAAGGATTGTTTAACAACTCTTATTTGTAAATGACTACGGTACTGGTTATATTTAATGTAATGTTTAACCACAAAATTAATGGTTTCATGGAAAGACACCAAAAATAGGATGCTTGAAAACACATGATTAAAAAAAGTATAAAAGTATCAATTGTTACCATCCTTGTTTTTGTATTATATTGTTGCGGATCTTTGCTAGTTTTTAGATCTAAGTGCATGAAAAACAGAAAAAAAGAAATCAACACGTAAAAGTCCTAGTCATTATCATGACTGAAAAAGACAGATCGATAACTTTATTAAAACAATGCATGATTTTCGAATATGTAGGAAATAATTGAGATATATCCTCGTAATCCAATAGTTGACTAGCTAGGTGGAAGAAATGGCAAAAGAAAAAAAAAATCTTACATAGACGGAGAGATATCATGCGGATGTGTCAATGTTGGATTTAGATTAATAGGGTCAAGCATAACAACGATTTTGAAACCATATTAAATGAAACTGAACATCATTCATATATATATATATATATATATATATATATATATATATATATATATATATATATATATATATATATATATATATATATATATATATATATATATATATATATATATATATATATATATATATATATATATATATATATATATATGTATTAATGTATGTATATATAGTGTGAGCGTAACCCTAACCCTGATTTGTATCCTTCGTGAATTGCATTAATACCCCCTACTATTCTACATATCTTCACATAGAGCCTAACGGTTATGAAAAATGACACTTTTGTTACTTAATGAATCGAGCGGTACTTGATATTTTTGGAAGAAATTGATATATATTTTTGTTAACCATCAAAATATCATGTTTTCCCAATTTAATTTCTTTACAACATATATCCTTTTATAAACTTTTTAAATATCCTATTTGCCATAATCTTTTCTTACAATGTTTTTGTTGGATTAAGTGTCCAAGCCCATAATTATATTTGGTATCCACTTGACTTGATTATGAACATGGTCCTTTTGAGTTGCCCTCACTAATGCAACTTGAAAGGATGACAAGTGGAGAGAGAGTATGATTTATTATATGAATATTAAGTTAGTAGTCAGAATGATTTTATTGATATATTACAAGACTAATATATTATTTGGAAATCGTATTATTAAATAGCAATTAATTAGAAATTAATCTAATATTAATTTTAGGATTAAAAGGAACTGATTAATTATAGAGGGATTGGTTTTGCAAACTATTGATACTTGTAAAATGGGTTGATGGACTCTATAGAGTGGAGTGGACGAAATCCTATAGAGAATCCCTATAGATTTCGTCCAAGGACTCTAAGGAAGGAGTCCATGGGTTACATAGGCCTTAAGCAGGAATTAGGGGTTCCTTAAGAAACCCTAGCAGCCCACACAACTATTTAAAGACCCCTCTATAAGGAATTTCTGCCCCAATGCATTAGAAACCCTATAGTGGCCGATTTAGTCTCTCTCCTTCTCCATCCTTTGTATTCAGTGTTTATGACTCCATTTGAGGTATAACACTTGGGGCACTAAGCTTTAAAAGCTCAAGGATATTCAAGGTGAACATGTTATTGCTACATAACAAGAGAGGTAACATCTAAACCATAATTTATGTGTCAATTTCAAAAAGTGTATGCTAGTCTTATGGTTATTGCTTTGGAGTCTGTATTTGCATGTTCAATAGAGAAACACTTAGATCCAAAGCAATGAGGGTTGCATAATCACATAGGATTGTAGTTATGCTCAAAACCCATCAATGGTATCAGAGGCTATGATGTTTTTCATATGAATTGGTGCAAGAATAGACTGCCAAAAGAACAAGAAATCAGAAATGTTTGCTATCTGACAGGCAGACTCGATGAGTTGATGATCATACTCTACGAGTTACATGAACTCGACGAGTTCAGTTGGTAACTCGACGAGTCGACTCATCTGGTGTCGGATTTTTGATTTTTTCGTCAGATTTTGATTTTGATAATTACCATAACACTTTTTAATACCTAAATTCAATTTTTCTGATTGGTATGAAATATCCTTATCAAAATTGATGGATTTATTCAATTTGGATAATATAATATTATTTTGATTCAAATACATGACCTAGTAATTTTGAAAAAGTTTTAGATTACACCATTTTGGTTTTATAGTTTAAATTTGAAATTAAAAGTTTATGTTTTGGAAATTTAAATGGTAAAACCCAAGTATTTTGAAAAGTTTCAAAAGTACACCTCATGGTTTTATAATTTAAAATTTGATTAAATTGCTTTAATTTTGAACTCTTAAATTTAGAACCTTGATATGTTAAATAGTTCAAATTAATCCTTATGGATTTTATTAAATTAATTGGGTATTTAATTAAGAGATAAAGTTAATAAATCCATAATAATATGGTTTAACTTTAACTAAATTAAAAGTCCAATTTATTAAAAGATTAAACAACCTAGTATTTTAAAAGTTTAAAATAAGCTCAACCCAACCGACATAATATGTCGACATATAACATAAGTAATGCATATACAAATAATCAGGTAAGAACACTAGTAGTTCTTCAGATCTACCTACTGGCATAGCATCTAGCACACATAACTAACTTATACTCAACATAATACCATTGATAGGATACCATATCCAATGGGCTGACATTGGTGCCTTAGATCCCTTAGTATAGTGAGGATAGCTCACCTGGCACTACTGAAGTATTGCGGTAGAAACTCCCGTTGTTGCTTGACATATTCATGAACTGCCAACATCAAATAATACTCAATTAATAATTGGGTTCCAAGCCCAAGGTCCAACTCACACTCCAAGGTCCCAAAAGTCAAGTAATAGGCCAAAACCCAACATATGGCCTAACTTTCTAAATTGCGCCCAGACCCCTACATGGTCTTACTAAAAGGACCATCCATATATTCTAGTCCACATAGAACAGCCATGCATATCGGGTCTACTGGGTAACTGGTCCACCGTATCGGGCCTTCAGTCCATCGGATCCATCCTCCAGGTCTAGTCATGTCCTTCGAGTCTACAGTGGGGTTGGTCTGCCCGCATCGGGCCTTCAACCCACCTGGTCCACTCTCTGAGTCTACAGTGTGACTGGTCCGCCCGCATCGGGCCTTCAGTCGGCCTTGTCCACTCTCCGAGCCTAGGCACGTCTGGTCCGCCCTCGAGGGGCCTACAACCTATCCGGACCGCTCGCTGGGCCTTCGGAACAACTAGTGCGCCCTGGGTATCTTGGCCGACAACACAAAGCAGGACCCGCCTCAACCCATCTCCAGTCATAACAACCACGTGCACAAAACATACATTCATATAACAGTCATAGTCAACAAACCGAACAAGCAGATCACATTGCATATCATTACCCTAACCGGGTTACCGACCTAACCGGTCACTAGCATAGCATCACTCTGTATATCGGGAAACTGACCTTAACAAGGTCTCCTAGCATGTACCATCCTAGCTACCAGGATGCAGACACATCAAACAATAACATAATAACCATATCTGAATCTCAATCCAATAAAGGGCCGGCCTTGGTGCCTTAGACCCTGTTGATATAGTGAGGATAAATCACCTCGAAACTGTCGGCTGAAAAGATAAGATCCCGCTGCTCCGAACTCTGACACGAACTCCTCCATTGAACATCAAAACATACAACTCAATAAATACCCTTAATTACCAAAATACCCCTGGAAGACAACTGGTCAACCTTGGACAGGTCAAAGTGAACCCCTGACTGACCCTACTCGCCGAGTCCATATGCTCATAACTTCCTCCACTCAGCGACCCAACTCGCCGACTCACCCCAAGACTCGTCGAGTCCAACAACTCTGAGTCCACTCGCACCCAACTCACCGAGTCATCCCTTGACTCACCGATTCATCCACTCAACCAGAAATATTGGGACATCCTCGACAAGACTCGCTGAGTCCAA